GTACTGGTGACCTCTTCTGTCCCCAGAGGTGAGGTGAAATTGGGTTTAATGTCGCGTCCAAGATTATTGCACTTATATAGCGACGTGCATGCACGTGTGTGAATGTGTGTGTGGATGCTTGTACTAGTCCGGACTGATGCCGATTTATAGTGCTAGCTCACTGAGATACCATGCCGCAGTTTAACATGAATACCCCACTCAGACACAGTATACTGACTCCGAGCCGACCAGTCCTTGTTTTAAGCCCTTAATGCCGAGCGCCAGACAGGGTAACAACCATTACCATCTTTTAACGTCTTTTGGTATGACGCGGCCGGGGATCGAACCCCGAACCTTGTGCTCTCCGGGCGGACGCTCTACCACAAGACCACGGAGGCGGTCCTTCTGTCCCCAGAACGCGCAAGAGAGACAAGCCTGGGTGGTTATTAAACCCCACTGCACTATAGCGTAACTTCCATACAATATAGTATTGCGAGATGTCCGTGTACCTAGTCGGTCATGGAGTCCATGCAAGGCTATACCCGTGAGCAAGTCTAGATTACTGCAGTTTAAATGAAAATGAATTGAACACCGGGGCTCCTTTTTAATATATTTTATTGAAATAATTAACAACTGTTATGTTTGTAAAAAAACATCAATTCAGAAACTAGATGTTAGTCGACCCTTACGGTAAACAAGATAACAATAGCTGCCCCATCACCCCACTAGATGCGTGACAGATTTCCATTAGCCCAAGTCGGTACTTTAGTCCCTTTTTATATCAATGAATAAAGCATTAACATCCAAAGATATAATGGCGTTTTGTATTTCTGTTATCACTAAGGTACTTCCTGAAATCACATAATAGTTCTGGTATTTTAGACATTCATCACTATAACAACTCTAATTGAGTGCATTAGTCTCTAATTGTGTGAGACAATATCTGTTTAGGGTCGTTCAGCGATATTGTAACTTGCCAGTGCTCAATTGTTAGTGGGACCAGTCTCTTCAAGCGTCTGCCTGAATACCCACGTGTTAATGTGGTGTAGGTACTGTTATATGGATGTAGAACTGAGAGTCCCGTTACTTGTAACACAATAACTCACCACATAGATCACATATCAGCAATCACTTTTGAGTGACGTTTCTGGGTCACATGCACATGTCTTTATCTGAAAACAACGTCAGGGACCAGTGTAGCCTATTAGGTCCATGGAATTCCGATGGATGTCTCTCAAAACGTTCGTTTCGTAAATAAAGTTAATCTCCCGCATTGCAAAATCTTGTACGAAAATTATCATTACATATTGGCTATTTCCTCTGTAATGGTTTCTTCTTCAACGAAATGTTTTAATTCTCGTTGAAATATGTACTCATATAATATGCATTTACAGCGAGATCTCGTTAATTCGGACCCCGTTAGTCCGAAAACCCCACATACCGGACACTTCGATTTCCAAACCATGGACCACCCAGTGAACCCGCGGTGAACAATGTTAGCGCGTGTAAAATGGTTTGCGTCATGCTTCGGTTGACCTAAGTTGCCCATTCCCAGTGAGTGAGTGAGTGAGTGAGTGAGTTGGGTTTATCGCCGCTTTTAACAGTATTCCAGTTATATCACGGCGTGTCAGCTAAATGTGGGAGAAAAGCCCGAAGTGATGCAGGTCTCACACGTTTACCACTTCGGTGAAACCCACGAGCACGGGTATGGTGCTGACAAACCTAGAAACATAATTGGGGCGAACAGGGGCTCGAACCCACAATCATAGGTTTCTGGCATGCCCAAGGGACGCAACTCTGCACAGCGAGTCGCGGCGCCTTAGACGACTGGGCCACCCGTGCCCCCCATTCCCAGTCAAACCCTGGTGTGCTGTACGTGTTAGCAAGTGGCATTTAATGAATTGTATTAACTTGGTATTATTAATATATATGTATTCTGAAATGCGCCAGGGAAATATAAATTTAGATTGCTGATACAAATACTTTAAATCAATAATGCAACTACGATGATATCGGTAAATCTGTTTGATGTTCTGTGCGTTTATTTTAACATACTTGTCGTTTTGGCATAATGTGTGTAAAAGCAATACGCGTGGCTGTTGTGTTTCTCGCTCTCCTATCAGCCATTTCATATTATTTCTAAAGTAAAACTGTTGCATTTTATGCGTTTCGGTTTATCCTTGGTTAACAATGGTTAACTCAGGTTGAATCTGACACGTGAATCTCCGGGGTAGAATAGGCCTTCGGCAACCCATGCTTGCCGTAAAAGGCGACTATGCTTGTCGTAAGAGGCGGCTAATGGGATCGGGTGGTCAGGCTCGCTGACTTGGCTGATACATGTCATCGATCCCGATTGCGTGGATCGATGTTCATGATGTCAATCACTGGATTGTATTTACAGACCGCCGTCATATAGCTGGGATATTGCTGAGTGCGGCGTTAAACAACAAACAAACAGGTTGAATCTAGCCAACCCTTGTTTCCAAAAATGTTGTTACACGGGTTGACTCAGGTCACTCAAATTTTAATACTCGAACGAACGTACTGTACGGGACGCTACGTATACATATGAAAATTAAGTACCAATGATTTGTTTATCCGGAAATAGTTTAAACCGAATGGTATCACTGGGAAATCTATCCTATTGATTAACAAGGTTTCGCTCTAAATGTATTTATTTATTCTATTTCAATTTATGATATTTTAGGAGTAATATCAATTTTGTCTTCATCCTCTCGTGTTTTTCTTCTGTGGCTTTAGATGTATTTTTCTTTACGTCTATTTGCACTGTGAGCACACATCTAAATACTCTGGCCGTGCATGTTGCAAGTGTGTTCGTTTACAATATTTACTTTGGAGAATAAAGCACATGAGGTATTTATCACTTTTGATATTTTGGTTTAATATATAGAGGTTATCACGCGAGTGTGTTTGGGGATGGTAAATATCCTGCATTAGGAATAAACATTGTATTTAGCGAGCCTTGGCGAGCTAAATACATAGTGTTTATTCCTAATACAGGACATTTACCATCCCCAAACACACAAGCGTGATAACCTCTTTATCATATAATGTCATTCTTTAATTCTGTGCCTTAAAATCGCTTTCCCTCTCTCACAAACATTACCGAAACATTGCGAGTTTTCTTGGAATGCGCGCATTAATATTTATTACGTCACAGGGTAAGTGATGTGTCAGTAGGACTGTGACAGTAGCCAATATAGTTCCAACTGAAATCTGTTTCATATACAGCAACTTATTCGCAAAACAACAGTTGTTTTTAATTGCCTTTCGTTGCAATCCATCGGTCTGTCCGCTAGAGTAACTGCCCTTTGTCAAAGGGAAGCTACTCTAACCCTAGTCTATGAGTCACGGCCACGGTCAGACGTTGTTGACAGTCGGTCTGTCCTTTCATAACGTTAAGAAGTGTAGTCAGATGTACACACAGCGACAAATCGAAACAAGGTAACAGTTCAAACATATTTCGGCCGAATCCAACCATTTTGATTTGTGGAGAAGGTTTCAAGCCACAGAGGTCTACAAGCAGAGATATGGCTACTGATCCCGTTTGGCTAGGCCTCGTGCCCTCGCAAAATTGTTTCGAAATTTATATCTCGAAAGTTGCCAAAACTTATAAAATGCCGTCACGGTTAGACACTGATTTTCAGTATATGAGACTGTTCGTTTGATAATGATAGCAATTATCCCTGTAGTTTATCCAGATTCACGATGGTTAATTCTGACTCGATCGCCGAATGACGAGGGCGACGCCATGTTTGTTTATAAACAGTGAAAGTAGTCCTACTTGACCTTTGGTATTTGCATCTCTATCCGCATATGACCCCAACGGATATCGTTTTTATCCGTTGGCTTTATCCTGCCGAGAAACCTACCCATTATATGATAAATTATTATATTTTTACCTATATATCGGAGCCGTAACTGTAGATGCTAAATTAAATGTATACTACTCAACCTTTGCTAAGGACCACACCTTTGCCTTAGATCACGATTTTGGTCCTGGGCAACTGTTGAGTAGTATCGTTCATCTTTGGTTAACGTGGCTCTTGAAGGGAAACCCCGCTCTGCGGTTTGGCTCTCATTTTTGGTCGAGATATACATAATGACATTTGAGTGTTTAGTGAAGTTTTGTGTGTATAAAACGTTAAAGCCAGAGAATAATCAATCTTGATCATCCGACGAAACAGATGCCTTTGGGCGTAGAAGGTAAAAGAGCGGTGAAAACTATGTGAATGGATCACTGAAAATGAAAACTTGAATCAGCCAGGGCTGACAATTGACCCGTGTCTTGTTCCCCTATAATTAATACACAATTATTTCCATTCTACTCGACAAAGAAGTTAAAGAACACCCGATTCGTTCAAAATTAATATGTCATGGCATGTTCTTTAACTTCTTTCGAGTATAATATATTTTATTTTCTACCTTGTAAATAACTGGCATATTCCCCACTCGCAATGTATAAGTCCAATCTTGTTGTATCGTATATTCACACAGGAAGGTCCTCTACAGTTATGCTACTTATAGACAGACGATCATGCTTTGAACTTTGAGATATTCATACATTTGAATGAATAGGAGCAAGGCCACTTTAGTCTCCTCTGAAATTCTCTGAAATCGGCTGAGCACCATTGTGACCAACTGATCACCATTTTTATCGGTTCCTATGGAAAAGATGGTCTAAAACATTTTCATAATGTCAAAAACGCGTTCTTGAAATCTCACCGGTTGGTATATGTTCTCCCGATTCTGTGACGTATTGGAATAAACATGCACTTTACAGGTCAATAGGTGGCAGCTTGGCCCCTGAGAGAACGTTGGACTTCGGTCCTGCCCCACACCCCAGGGAGCTGAGAATGATTGTTGAGTGCACACCGATCCATTGACCGGGTGTAATAATGTGCTTCGAGCATGATATTCAGCATGGAAAAGGCGCCATATAAATGGATTATTATTGTTGTTGTTATTATGATGATGACGATGTGTTGTTACTTCCTCAGGAGACGTGCCATACGCCCGTAGGCCTGGCGTCCGACGCCCTGAATCCATTGGTGGACTTCGAACTGGCGGCGTCTGACGGCAACGCCAGCAACGTCCGGTTGAATGGACCGTCGTCATGGAAGGTCCACAGTCTCAACAACGAACCATTTGTACAGGTAAATATCACGGTGTTTGTATGAACTTTAGCATGTCTCTTTCACGTTGAAACATGCTTTAACAAAATAAAAACATAATTTAATCAATTTTACACTGATATTATCAAGCTGACATTAAGTGTTTGCGAAACAATTGAGCATTTCCCGTTCTGTTACACCACCCATTGTTTGTGAAGGTTGAGGTCAATTTAGGGTCAGCCGAGACAAAAACTACACTTTACGTTTTACACTCCTTGCTTGTACAGTAGATATCCAGAAACATATTGACGTTAGTGACCGTTAGGGATCATCCGTCTGTCTCACCCAAAACATCAGTCGTTGCATTTGTATTGGAGATGCCATATTATCTTCATCCTGCCATCAAGTTAATGCGATCATTTAGCTCCCTTCACGCACGAACGGGGTTAGGGGCGTGGTGTGTGAGGAGTACAGGGGAGACCCGTCGTCTAATGCGCCGTTATTCGCTTACAGAGCTGCGCCCATTAGACGTGTCACAAACATATGCTAGTGGCTTCGAATCCAGGTTTCCTCAATTATGTTAAAGGTTTGTCAGCACCATACCGTGCTCGTGGCTTTCACCTAAATGGTAAAAGTCAGTACCTTCATTCTTTCCTCACAAAGCTGGGGGCGGTCGGGTAGCCTAGTGGTTAATGCGTTGACTCGTCACGCCGAAGACCCGGGTTCGATTCCCGACATGGGAACAATGTGTGCCGTGATATTGCTGGAATATTGCTAAAAGCGGCGTAAAACCATACTCACTCACTCACTCCTCACAAAGCTGACACACCGTGATGAAACTGATTTATTGTTAAAGCCGCGATAAACCAAACTGTTTCACCGCTCACCAAAGTGTACACCAAACATGACCACCCGGTGTTCTTTTGCTTTGTAACGTTGTTTTTAATGTTTTGATCACAAGACTGACACGAGACGTCCTTACGTTGGTTTACTCTGATACTGTTTCAGGTGACTCTCTCTAAACCAATGTTGATCACCGGAATACAGACCCAGGGAGACCCGGATGAGAGCGCTTGGGTCGTGCAGTTCCGGGTCGCCTACAGTCGGGATTGCGAGGCGTACACCAGTGGGGGCTCGGTAAATGTCTACAGAATGTCCTACGTTACCGTCATGCGAATTAAACATGTGTAATATATCCATAAACACAATGAAAGCCAGTAACTCTTTCTGCAAATCCAGTCCGGATTAACAAAATTTCGGATTATTGAAATTTCGGATTAATATTTCATTAACTTCATGTAGACACACCCAACAGTGACACTGTATACGAGTCATTTGTTCAGTGGATATGACGTCATCAGTTACGTCACTGATCTACATAATGAAAAATAATAAGTTTTGCGCCTGTCAATCATCGATAAAAACGTATCCGTTTTACAAAAACACTTTGCGATGTACATACACGATTCTTTAAGATAAAACTAACCCTTCCAATTATGAAGTTATCCCAAGTGGATTATTATCGATATTGGAATATTCCATTTTCTAAAGTAAATAATATAGGTAAATGCTGCTGAGAAACAATTATTTTTTATTCGAAACAATGTTTATTTAGCATTTATTCAAAACACAATGTATATTAACCAATGATTTAACTTCCGTTATTCCTTTATTTACGCCACCCTTAATTACTGTTAATATTTTCGAATAGGAAGGGGTGTGGGATAGCCTAGTGGTTAACGCGTTTACAATACACACAAAAGAGTCGGGTTCGATTTCCTAACAGCTTGATGTAACCTGCGATAATTTGTGTCTTGATTAATTCTAAAGCAGGGGCACGGGTGGCCCAGTCGTCTAAGGCGCCACGATTCGCTGTGCAGAGTTGCGTCCCTTGGGCACGCCAGGAACCTATGATTGTGGGTTCGAATCCCGGTTCGCCCCGATTATGTTTCTAGGTTTGTCAGCACCATACCCGTGCTCGTGGGTTTCACCGAAGTGGTAAACGTCTGAGACCTGCATCACTTCGGGCTTTCCTCCCACATTAAGCTGAAACGCCGTGATATAACTGGAGTAATGTTAAAAGCGGCGTTAAACCCGACTCACTCACTCACTCACTAATTCTAAAGCGGTGTTAAACCGCGTTTTAACTTATTCCAAATCAGATTTTGTATCTTTGGTTGGGAAGGTTTGGTGTTGGCAATAAATGGCTGGTCGACTTTAGGAATCACGATCACAAGAAATATCTCCCTTTCATTTCAATCCCGGGCGACGCCAAAGAGGGAAACATGACGTCAAACACTATTATTCAAAATCCAATTTTAGATCTTGACATTCGTTTCCGAGACAGGGTGTCTAATTAAATGAAGCTAGTTAAAATAAGATGAATAAATAATCGACTTCAGTCATTTAGTCAAACTATGGTGGTCAAATTCCATTTCAAAAGATTTCGGACTGATGAATTTGACTTGAAAACTTAGTAATAAATTTCAACTTTGATCGCTTAGATTCTGGTTAATGATTTTTTAAAAGCACATTAGTTTCCAAAACAGTTAGTTCTACTCTTATTTATTGCAAAACACGAGTCTAGTTAAAAGACAATCAAACTGTCTAATCACGATTGATGAGTTTGTCTGCGACCAGTAGTTGCCGTCTCCCCGGCCAATCGATATAGCCATGTCAGTTGACTCTTACCATTAACATTTGTTTTATAGAACAAAACAAGACTTCATTATATGTACAGTGAAACGCCACTAGGCAAAAAAAGGTTTCCCTTTTCAGCCCATCCAAAAACAGAGTAGTTGGGCTGGATTTTTTTTTCAACATATTTTTTTAATTTCTTTAAGTGATTGTGATTCTATGGCGAAACGCAACAAATTATTGCCGCGGCATAACATACGGACAATATCGGGATTGTGATAAAAGCATTCGTGCTAATTGAGAAAACGAAAAAACTGTTTGGTGTCAAGAGCTCCCGCTGCAGATTAGAATCGGTCGTAAAATTGGCAATACGTGTCCTTTATTAGTTGAGAAATGTGAATGGTTCTGTTTAGAATGTCTACATATATTTTAAAAGAAATTGACTCGGAAAAAAATATTTGTTAATCCGGTGATAATCCGGCCTAAAGCGTCCGGATTAACGAGGTTTCATTGTATAGTTATGATGATATGCCAGTAATTCTTTCCAACATGTGTATATGTAAAACCAACCTCTTCTACCGTCTCAGCCCCGGGACAAACCCGTGTTAGTCAGCGATTATCCTTGGGCATCTCAACTAACCAGTCCAAGGAAATGTCAATGAGGCCCTATTGTTAGCCCCGTCTCCCTAGAGAAAACACCCACAGTCAGCTTCCCAGCGGCTCCCAATATTAATATCAAGATTGCAACTTTTATAACCTCTAACATTTCACATGACTTCTATAAACGGCAGCTTCCCGATATGATTATATTGAGCTTTATACGAATAACTCACATTTGATTCAGCTCACTGTCATAAGCTGCATCGTGTTCTACACAGGTGAATCGTCTTCAATGCTGGTGTTTGCCGTACGCCCCTCTACCCCCGGCTCTCTAATGAGCCACGGGCAGCGTATACACTGGGCAGCATACACGTAGTTTTTTTCATTAAATTTCCCAGACAGAGCAACGGCATTAATCTGTTGAGAAAGTGTCTCTCGCTCACCTTGTCTGAAACAAATGAGGTCTTTTGATTGGTTCTGTCGGACGACGTGATTCTTTCAACCACCGTTTCTAGGTTGTTTCTAAGAACAAAAATAAGCTGAGCTGTGTGTTCAAGAAGCGTCAGAACGCGGACACCATACACATTCAATATATTCCTGCTGCCAATTAATGGTAAGCTTTAGTAACCAAGTATGGATGTATGGATGGATGGATGGATGGATGTATGGATGGATGGATGGATGGATGGATGCAGACATATGTCTATCTTAATGTATCAGTCTAATTCCAATCAAACAATACGCAAAGAAAACAGTTCTCATGGGCATGTTCGTCTTGATCTCGAAAACAACCACCTCACCACATACTGTTAACTCTCCAACTAAAGTTTTATCCGAAAGGCAATGTATATGTTGTATCTACGCGCCAAATTATGACTGGAGTCAACAATTATAATAAAAAAGACACAATACCTCTACGCCTCGGGACGCCTAGATGTATATATGTGCTAGGTAGTTTCTGTCCCAAATACCCTGACCTTTGTCTCTCACCTTGCAGAATGTATTTACCTTTCACCATCTGTGTCTTCGCAGTCGTACTGGGCCAACATCAACAACAACACAACGCTGACACATTTCTTCCACAACCTGACGCTAGCCAAGTGTATGCGGATATTCCCCACCCAGCACGAAGGCTCCTTCTCGGCACTCCGACTTGAACTACTTGGCTGTGGTAGGTCTTGTCACGATGTTGCATCGCAGCATGTTTGCTCTCAAATTCAAAGAACGTTTATTCTCTGAGCACTATTTAATGCTGAAGACAGGCAGATATGAGTGAACACCTTCCTAAAACTATCTAGAAACATCTCTATGGACATCTCTGACGATTTCTTCAGATATTTGTTTGTTTACATTTGGATTAGTAACTGTTGTTTGTTTGTTGTTTAACGCGGCACTTGGCAATAATCCAGCTATATGACGGGTGTCTGTAAATAATCGAATCTGAACCAGACATTTCAGTAATTGACATCATGAGTTTTGAGCCACGCAATTGGGATACGATGACGTGCATCAACCAAGTCAGTGAGTCTGACCAACCGATCCCGTTAGTCGCTTCGTACGGCAAGCATGGGTTGCTGAAGACCTATCCTATCCCGGATCTTCACGGGTCGGCTTAGTAACTAAAACTTGAGATGTTGTAAATAGGTAAATCTTTAAAGCTGTCTATGGGTGTCATGTTTGTGCCATTCTACTCAAAACAAACCTCACTTTGATCACGTTTGTTTTTTTTAACAGTAGGGTAGCCTAACTCTTGAAAATTATGGTTGTGACAATAGCCCATAGTATACGGTACTACACGACGCGACACGACACGACACGACACGACACTATGATAAATACATGCATGACAACGTTTCTTTTCTTTCTCTTCACAGATATAGAAGAATGTACAAATAAGTTAAACGTTTATTCAAGCGAAGTTATACCGCCCGAGATTGGCGATCAGCCTGGTGTACTCATCAAGTTAACGTCAGAAACTATTTTGACGTCACTGGCTGTGACGTATGAAGCACGTGCTCACGATGAAGTGCAGCTGGATCTGGAATACAGCCGGTCATGTGTCAACTATACCGCTGTCCACAACGGCCAGGTCACCCAGGTAGGAACTTGCCCACTCCTCTGACCCTCACCCCCAAAACGTTCCTATCAGTGTTTGGCTGAATATTGCTTGACCGGGGTCCTGTCTACCTAAACGAGTAGACATCCGGTTGCCGGTTTCTTGTAGGCGGCGATTGGACACACTTGTCATAGCCTTCACTGGTTCTTGGTATCGAATAACAACAAAATTAATAGAGGACTACGTAAAGTTTGTGAAGTAAAGTTGCTCTTACAACAACAAAAAACACCAACAGAGCAGTTTGCGATCATTTTGATGATAAACTAAAATTTTGAGGTTTAGACATATCTTCGTGTTATTTACATAAGTAATTGCGGTCGCTACGCATGCGCACCTATAACCGGATATGATATAGATTTGTACTATTATATGGCGGCCGTCTTTTGGCTAAAACCTTGGTGCAAAACCTGAAAGTGTGGCCAGTCATTATATGGGCTCTTGATCAGCTTAGAACATGGCACGGTTGGCTATTAATACAAGGCATTTGTTTTCGATTTGATGCACGTATTCGCCATTCTACATTCTAACATTTCACAAAGAAAGTGACATGGTAATTACAGCTCACTGGAAATGGTTTAGTTGAATAGACTCGGAAAACTTTGAAATAAAAACTATGAAAATTGTCGGTCATTTGTCAACTTAGTTTTTTTCTTTCTGACCCATTTTTTTTACTTCTAGTAGGATCAAGTACATAAGTATGGATAGAAAGAAGGAAAAATGTTGTTTTTCGAACTCTAAAACCTATAAGGTAACCCAAGATCCAAGATGTTTCACGATATATTCGTACCATCATTACCTACATCGCCGCCAGGAAATCGCCTAGGATCAAAGACGTGCTTGTGTTCAAATATCGGAAAAGTATAATCTCCATTCATATAAAGGTGTCCTCGTTTCCTTATTTATTGAATTATATAAATCTTGTGGATCCAAAACGTTCCACATAATTAATCGTCCTTTGTGATATAATTTTATAAATAAGGATGTATTTTCCTCCGAATCCGTAAACACAATGTAAAACACTCCGTAAACACAATGTAAAACACTCAAATATATAACGACATGGGACATTAGAAAACTACATTTTACCCTTCAACACTTTTCACCCTTATTCCCTTAAGTGTTTTTTTAGGAAAAATATACACACACACCCCACCCCCAACCCCACCCCGACCTTCTTCCCTAAGGCTTTGAAATGATATCCAAACAATACTCCAGAGGATCAACAATTTGGTTTTAGTAAGGAATCAAGTGAAATAAACAGGAACGTTATCACACGGTTTAAACCGGATTGTATTGACGCCAAGCTTACATTGTTTCCTTATTCAGCGCATCTGTTAGCGTAGAACACAATTACCATAGCATATCATTATGTTCTATCTACGAGGTATCAGTGATGGGGCTCACCACTCGCAGGCTGTCGTAATAATGGTATGACTGTAAAGTGCAGCTTGTTAATCACAGTGTGTCGCAGGCGTCTTCCGATTACCTCTCTGTCAGCAGGTGCGCAAGGACGCAAACGTCATGTTGCCTGCGGCTTTTCTGTAAACGCTTCCACGACCGGAAGTACAGCCAGCTGATGTTGTCATTTTCTTTACTCCATACTCTCTTTTCAATTAAGTGTTAGCGGCATGAATGCGTCCATGTTTGTCAAATGGCACGTGCTGTCTTCTTCTTAACTATGCGTTTGTTTACTTTGTTTCTAAACGTTGTTTTTTTAGTGTACTGACTCTCTCCCAGTGGAGGATAATGTCGAACGTATTTGACATTTTATTGTGTTCTATCAATTTGATGATAACACTAACAAAACTATCTTAACTCTTAAGTATTAATAGGGAAGTTGGAAATTGAGAAGAGTTTTTAGAAAAGTTGGGATTGTTTTTGGTTTCATTTAAAATCGCTGTTCATATTGCTGATTTAGTAGCTTGGTGTCTTTAACGTGATCTGTGGACTTGTTTAAAGATTATATTTCTTGCATATGCTTTTGTTATACTAATACTTATAAATAAACATTAATTGTTGAGCTTTTCATAATATCTAATCGCAAAATCGCAACAGATTCATCAGTAACTATTAGCATACATGTAGACACCATCCTCGTTTATCCAGTGTATTGTAGATCCATTCTATTATCATAAATACCATGGATCCATTCGCCACCAGATCTTGGATCGGAAGTGACGTCACAATCTCTCTTATCACTAACTCAGTGTATAATTTCTCTCGCTCATGGGTGTAAATTAATCAGGCGGCTAATTTTAGAATTATGTAATTTGGACCAGGTTCAAAACTACGCTATTGTAGCGAATAAATCTATTTATCATTATAAAATGGAAATTTAATACCCTGAATAATCGAGGATGGCTTAGAAATTTACCATTTTCTAGCTCCGGCGATTTCTCCCACCAAAGACTCTGAGGGTGTTGGTCGTGCCTGTCTCCCCCAAAAGTTTGCAGGGGCCCGGCACATGTGGGGGGCACCATCCTCGTGGGTCGGGTGCAGGTGAGCGGGCAACTACCCCCAGTCCGCCGCTCCCTTTGCACGGGCTTAACGTGAGTGAGTGGGGCACGCATGCGCACGGAAGCATTTCACCATTACATGCAAGCACGTGCCTTACTGCCTCACAAATCTGAAAATGATCCAATCCCACACCACCCTCATAAACCGTCTTCAAGTGTCTCCGTCACTGCAAGGGGCTAGGGTCGTGGCCCAGCAAGATTGGTTCCAGTCCTTCCAACATCCCTAAATCTGTTTGCTCTTGCAGTTAACGGTCAATGCAAATGAGATACACAGATATAATGCCTCATTTCCCATACACTGATATAGGGGGTAGGGGGAGGGGTCGTACCCGCCTCTTGGTTGCGTGGTTAAAGCGTTCTCTCGTCATGCCGAGGACCCAGGTTCCATTCGCTACATGGGTGCAATGTATGACGCCTACTTTGGTGTCCCCCGTGATATTGCTGGAATATTGCTAAAATCGTAAAACCATACTCACTCATTGAGAGGGCACGGTCGTCTAAGGCGCCGCAGTTCGATATGCAGAGTTGCGTCCTTGAAACCTATGATTGTGGGTTCGAATCCCGGTTCGCCCCGATTATGTTTCTGTGTTTGTCGGCACCATACCCGTGCTCGTGGGTTTCACCAAAGCGGTAAACGTCTGCATCACTTGAGGCTTTACTCCAACATTAAGCTGACACGCCGTGATATAACGGGAATACTGTTCAAAGCGGCTTTACACCCAACTCACTCACTCACTCACAAAACTTATCGACTGATACGTTGATCAAAATTATCTAATTTGAGCTGGCAAACAAACACGTGTTGTTTCAGGGACTTGAACCAAAATTGCTGGAACAGTCAGTTGGGCCGAACCGTGTGCACCCTTTAGTGACTGACAACATTGTGAGTCATGCATGGCCCGAGGCCAACTGTCACAGATGCTCAAGAATCCGTGTACATAACTGCACTAACATCATGTTTTGACAGACATACACAAGAGTATCAACATGTGCGTCACCTCCATGTGTTTAGGGATGCTGTTGCATGTTGGTTTGTTGTTTTACGCCGCACTCTGCAATATTCCAGCTATATGACGGCGGTCTCTAAATAATCGAGTCTGGGCTAGACAATCCAGTGATTGATATCATGAGCATCGAACCACGCAATTACGGCAAGCATGGGTTGCTGAAGACCTATTCTACCCCAGATCTACAGGGGTCCTGTTGCATGTAACATTGTTTTACATATGCATGTTATATGTCATCTCTTGCTGACTCTGTGATTGCATGATTGAATGGTGCCTATTAATGTTGGTTCTATGCTTATTGCTGCTGGAGTGAGTGAGTTGGTTAGCGTTACGACGCATTTAACAGTATTCCAGTTATATCACGGTTGGTCGGTTTAATGTGGGAGGAAAGTCCGAAGTGATTCGTGTCTCTAACGTTTACAACTTTGGTGAAGCCCACGAGCACGGGTATGGTGCTGACAAACGTAGACAGATAATTGGGGCGAAACGGGATTCGAACCGAGCCCTCTATGGCTGAGAGAGAGAGAGAGACCCGCAACCAATTTTGCAGACACCTACGGTGCCAACGTTTCATTTTGAAAGTACATTCCATATCGTGTCCAACAACCCAGTGTCTCTGTAGTAGCGTTACAATCTGACATACAGACGGATGACTCGCCTCAGGAGTTTCGACATATGAGATGTTCGACACAATCTGCATGACGATGTTCCTGCGACTTCGACATGAGCAGTGTCTGGTAGAATGTCAACAATAGACCAAGGGCTTCCATTAATGGCGTCCTTCTCTTTCAGCTGTACAGGAGCCCCGAGGATTCCCCGAGACAGGTGTCTGTGATAGCGTTCTACACCCCTGTCCGGGCCCAGTGTGTCAGGGTCACCCCTGTAGGCCGCACCGTCCTGGAATCCGTCAAACCATACGGATGTGGTGAGGATTATACTCAATAGTTTAACCTTCCATCTTCGATTTTGAGGACATTTACTTTTTTGTCAAAATAACATTTTATTTCAATCGAGTGATCTGACAAAGTTTATATTTTCATGAACTGCGCAGCCACATGTTCAAATGTCACCTTTGTCAGTTCACGAGTAACGAAAAACATGTTATTTGACCAGAAAAATCAAATTTTCTATTTGTTATGTATTTTCTTATTTTCTATGAAAAACCATAGTGTCATTGACACAGGAACTGATAGTACTTCCGGCATAATGTTGCATTTCACTCAATCTCATTAAAACCAGATCTTAGTTTTCGCTACCACTAAACAAAGATCTGAGGACATCCTATCATGGGTCATGTCACAACGACCTTTCGCAAACTTTGACCGACCAATGAAATGACTGACAAGAAATCGACATTAGCCAATCATAAGGCAGCTTCCTCGAGCTTTACGATACTAGTTTCAAACTGGCAACTACGCTTCGAAACATATTTTGACATATTCTCGATTAAACATTTTAAAACTGATAAAAAGAACATCCTGGAATGCCTTATATATGGCCCAGAAAGTATGGATATAATCATGAAACCAATAACTGTCGTTCGGAATAATCTCTGTTAAATATTTCGAGGTTGCATGATTGGAAACACATTCCGACTGTCACTGTCATGATTTGGTAAGTGACGCTCTGATTGGTTGGATGAACGGTCGTTCTGACGTGACCTGTAATGGGATGTCCTCAGATCTATGTTTAGCGATAGCGGGAACTAAGATCTGATTTTAATGAGATTATATTTCACTCAATGGAGATATCAATTTCATCTATTTTCATATAAATACAGTACCTCGCGATTAAATGCAATACAGAGGCCTTATTCTAAATAACAATTCTGTCGGTATCCCTACGTTTACATCGTCGCTAAATCAAGCTGATGGATCCGGAGTATATATGTCTGTAGTACTTGTTCGTGTATAGCGTAGAATAATATGACAAATATCGAGTCTCGACCTCGGGCTCACGATACGATAGATATGTCAATAGTGACGCCGCGACACGGTACATTTATCAACAGTAAGGCCGCGATACTACACATATCAATAGCAAAATCGCGATGTGAATATTTCCATACATTTCTCGATACTACGGTCGCGATACGATATATCTCGTTAGTACAAGGTCGCGATATGATATATATCCCATTAGTTCAAGGTCGCGATACGATACATATCACAATAGTAAAGGTCGCGATACGATACATATCGGAATAATAAAAGCTCGCGATACGACACATATCTCAATAGTAAACGGTCGCGATACGATACATATCTTAATAGTAAAAGGTCGCGATACGATACATATCTCAATAGTAAACGGTCGCGATACGATACATATCTTAATAGTAAAAGGTCGCGATACGATACATATCTCAAAAGTAAGGTCGCGATACAATACACCATAGGATACGTGAAAACTTGGCACTTGACTTATTCTACCCTCATAGAGAATGATTTGAATTAATACATGGAATATGCAATGTGATACTCGTATCGTGACACACCGAATGTCCGATGAATCGTCACACCCTAAACAGTTTATGTTCCTCGCAAAGTAAACGCTCAGAGCATTGTAACCTTCGGGCTGTAAATGCTTGGAAAACCTGTACCCAGCAAAGTCAATGTTTAATATAAAATGTTTTTGTTGATTTCATTTTCCAGATGCCACAATAACAGAAGGTAAGTCTGTATTCTTAGATCGCCTCTTCCTCATCCTCACATTCTACAGACAAAAGTTAAAACCCGAAGTCCCGGAACCCCTATGATACCCCGCTATTTGATGAAATACGGTACGGTACGCTAGCCTGTGTGGAGCGTACGATGTTGTAAATAGGTGTATTGCCATAAGCCCTGGATATTTATCTCAATAACACATGGCTTTGTTCCTCGCCATCATTGCCTGAAATGGCGCACAAGGATGAGAATAACCATTTAACAGTTTCCAAACACCAAATACCTGTACACATATTTTGTAGCTGAGTTCATAACCGTGCGGTGTATAAGATTCAATTCCTGTTTCCATACTATAGAACCACCTCCAGATATGTTTAGTTTAGACATATGGTACACAGTACGTCGAGGGCATCGCGTCTTTGGTTATGTTTAGATATAAATATTTCAGTGTAGAATAATGGTTTTCGGATGTCTTCAGAGCGAGAGAGAGACTGACCATGTTCTTCTGAAGAACGTCTTCAGTCAAAACCCTTTTTTTATAGGCCAGACCGACATCATGCTGGTTTGTACGGTTGGTGCTGTGAACTATGTAAGGTCTGTGAATTGACATAATGACCTTTTGGATTTAATTGTTACAAGGATGCTCAATCAAAACTGGAAAAATAGCAACCGTTTCCCGTAGCCTTGACGAGTGCCCCAGACTGACAGCATGACATACGGTGGCTTAACGTGGGGAATGTTGATGAAAGGCTGAAGGCCTATCATATTACTAATATAGGAACATTAAAGGAATCCTATAAGACCGGGAGCATTCTGTGCCGTGCATATTACTACATGCTGTTATTCATGTTTTGAGTGACAGTGATCAGAAACAGGAATGTTTAAACTGACAGTTTATTAAGAGTCTGAATGCTCCATTTTCGCAACATTTGAAAAGTAGTTTTTGTAAGAACAGTTGAAATGGTCCACCTTTTCCTTTCTATTACAACACATTCAAAAACGTTTCCTTTTACACTTTATTGTCTTTATTGGTTGATCTATAATGAAGCGCAAATATTTTAGGCTAGCGGTTTAAAATACGGACAATAGCGGGATGGTGATTGTGCAACTCGAGAGAAAAGGAGAAAAGTCTTTGGGTCGGGGCTCCAAGTTAGATATTTTTTTTATTTAAACATTGATAGGCAATATAAAAGACAATGTGTTTTTCATTTTGAAATGATGTTTGTGTGAGATATTGTTAAAAACCGCCGTCTAACCACATTCGTTCAACATCGGCCAACATTATTTATCCAGTGTTAAAGTATATTTTCTGAAACTACGTTCAGTTGAAACATTTAACTTATAACTATTTAATAACTTTTTGCATTTTATTAACAAACAAACCACACAACAGCATTTCTTAATTTAATTAGTTCTTTTCCGGGCAAAAACCATTCTGTTATAATGTTCCTCGAAGTGTACAGGTAAAATAGACTGGCACGGGTAATACCGACGCAACAAGCTGTTGATGTCTTACCGCTAGGTTTGTGCGAACACTTGCAGAGTTAAATAACACAGATCGCTGGAGAGCTCACCAAATGAACCGACGATTTTGTTTTGAATGTGATGAAGTTTCAGCATGGCTCTCGCTTAATTACGTTCCCTATGACCGACCACAGAGAGCGGTGATTGTTGTGTCTGGGCGTCACCAGACGGAAGACGAGACAATTAGCCAGATGGTGAATCACTAGCTTCCACGCACACCCCACGAAACGTCATGTTTCCTCACAACATACGCAACGAACACACCGTGTTTACTTTACCGTGTTTACCTTACTGTGTTTACACAAGAATTATGAGTCATACTCTGTTTGTCTGCGTTTGATGGAACATATATGAGTTGTTAAATATTATTATATTAAATTAGGTGGAGGGATTTTGAATATTGGTTATTCATGAAAGCGACTGCGTTACACATATGAAAACAAACATAACGAAAGTTTGTATTTCTATGCGACATGCATAGAAAAGATGGATTTGCGGTGTGGTGTACACTTCAGACAGATGGCTCACTAGATGTGTACACTAACACTCATGTCTCGATGCTTCAACTTCTTAATGAGTGCACGACTAGCCCAGTAGGGGGCGGTCGGGTAGCCTAGTGGTTAAAGCGTTCGCTCGTCACGCCGAAGACCCGGGTTCGATTCCCGACATGGGTACAATGTGTGAAGCCCATTTCTGGTGTCCCCCGCCGTGATATTGCTGGAATATTGCTAAAAGCGGCGTAAAACCATACTCACTCACACTCACTAGCCCAGTGACAAAGGCGCCGCCATGCGCTGTACAGAGTTGTGTCCCTTATGCAAGTCAGTATCAACTGGTCGGAGGTTCGAGTCCCAACAATAACCTTCTTGCTGAACGTATACCATTTTTCCGTAAATTGCAGGAACATTCGCAGAGTGTGGACGAACAAGGAAGACGTCGGGCATCCGCCGGAAGCGCGTGGTCGGCGGTGACCCCGTGACCCCTGGCGACTGGCCTTGGTTGGTGTCCATGCACTTCCTCAAGTGGCACAACTTCACCAACTCTTCTGGACTTAGACATCTGTGTGGCGCCAGTCTCATTGGCAGGGAGTGGATCCTGTCTGCCGCTCACTGTTTTGAGTGAGTAGCAAAGGACATAAAAACATTCGTCACCGTCACATTCCGCGGATCATTTAGGAACCGACCATTTGATTTTGCTCCTGACCAAGGGCTGATCCAGCATTTTTAAAAGGGAGGGGTGCAAACTATCAAATCCTCTATTTTCTATGTATTTTATTTGCTATAGATAAGCTTCTCCTTAATGTATCAAATCCAGTAAGATATCTCCCTCACTCCAGCCCCGATGTGTTCGATGGTCTGGACGACCCCGACAACTGGCGTGTGGCTCTCGGGGAACATGACCAGAGCTCTGCCGACGGCACAGAACAGCTGATGGAGGTGGAAAGTATCACGACGCATCCCAACTTTACAAGTAAGTCCGCTCACTCACTCACTCACCAACCCACCCACCCATGCACTCACCCACTCACTCACTCACCCACCCTCTCACTCACTCACTCACTGCCCTACGCTGGAGGAGACCATCAAATGAGGCACTACAATATCTGGATCCCAAACTTAAGGACATAAGTGTATCGGTATAAAAACCTGTTAACATAAAATCATAACATTAGATGAACAGAATAAAGCTAGGATTCCATAGACACGGATACTTATACGGCAAGCTTACGCGAAATACGACATGCGGATGCGGAATGCGTTTTGTGCGAACCAATATATAACGAGAACAATGCGTTTTTATTTTCCCCCGCGAGTTCTTTTGACAAGAACATGGTTTGAAACTGGTCCGGGTTGCCGCGTTCTCTTTCAGATGATCAAGACACGTTTAGTGTTATCCCCATGGCATGTAAATTATTACAGTCGAAAAAGAAGATGAGAAAGAACCGCCGGTGGGACCAAGGCATACTACACGAATGGACACAACGCGGTGCCTGCAATTACCTTGTGAAAGAGTTACAGTTAGATGGAGAGAATGACATTCTTTGGGCTGACCGTTTTTTAAGTGAGATCTATTTCTGTAATGACGTCACTTTCAGGATTTCCAAATGCGGCTCGTGTGCAGATACGACTTTGGACGCCCCGGGGAGAGATTCGTCTGTCCACAACCGCATCTGCATGAGAATACGCAGCCGCATCCGGACGTATGGAATCGTATAATGAATTAACCTTGTTTCGGTTTTTGCCATTGTCAGCACGTCGCATAAAAATCAGTACCTTTGGAATCCTAGCTTAGGGCGCCCTTACTTACTTTTTAACTCATAAAGATCCCCTACTGTTTTGAATCATGCTCGGTAACTTGATGCATGTCATCGTATCCTAGTTGGTAGATCGATGCTCATGATGTCAATAACTGGATTGTCTGGTCCATACTCGATTATTTACAGACCGCCGTCATACAGCTGGAATATTGCTGAGTGAGGCGTTAAACAGCAAACAAACTACTTATCCTTTTTTCATAGGTGGGGGTTTACCCGCTCTTCATATAAGTCCAGTCATTTCACGGCGGGGCATCCGAAATGGGCCTCAAACAGTGTCATACAATCAGTCATGATCATTATAAGTAATTCCTGAGGTACAAATACACAGAATCGAAGTGAACAGGGTTATCCATACACAGGGAAAATTGTTTGATTATGAATCGTCAAAATAATATTGAAATATGGTTTCTAATTCGATCCGAATCAAAATTAACATTTCTTTTCACACAAACCTTGCTATGAAAACATCGATCTATGGATACACTCATATCGATGCATATAACAATGTCTGCCGATAACCCGTTAGAATTGTCTACGTTCGGTGTCAGAACAACAGCTTACCAAACATGTGTTTCAGACCGCACAATTGAGTACAACACACACTAGCTACTGAGTCAGGGTCACACACTCATCGGTCACACAAATTAGTAGTCTCTCTCCCTGTCGTACAATGCTGACTCGACTTGAGCTGAAAACGGCCCTACTTCCGTTGCAATAAGGCTGTGGCAGTAGCCTCATGTCCACCAGTAAATCTTCACGTTAATGGGGATCATAATTACAGATCGAGGTTGTCTTCAGGGTTCATGCAATTAGTAATTAATGCCTATTTTGGCAGTCATGGAAAGTGAAAAGTGACGGAAGTATTGAATTCAGCCATGGTGAGGTTCGGGTAAATAATAATAATAATCATCATCATCATCATCATCATCATCCTTTTATGTGGCGCTGTACTCCATGCATCAGCATGCTCTAAGCGCTTAGACATTATTAGCTCCGTCAACAATAATTCTCAGCTCCCTGGGGAGTATACAACCAAAACTGCCTGCCCAGAAGGTTAACAACCACATTGCAATATCATCCTACGGGGTAGTCATTCACTGCTGGGTGAACAGAGACACATTTCAAACAAAGTCACATCCCTAAGGAGACATCATATGTGTTACATGTGCTTCATTCTGGATATTATGTATTACTGTTGCTGGGTAGTTACTGGTTACAGCTTCAAAATACCTTAAACACTGTTAAATAAGTTATGCAATTGATTATTAAGTTCAACGTTCTGTGTTTCTATAAGCTGTCTCCCCTACAATGGAATACGTCGTGCTGGTTGAGGCCAAGTAGTACAAACATGCAACAGGGATTCTTTCATCAATTCCTTTTAAAAAACTTTGTATTTTGTAATCATAAGTTTGAACTGGTCAAGAATATAAGTATTACTAATAAATCTTTAACATGTGTAATATTTGTTACGTTTGTCACAATCTGGGGCCTCTTGGAATTGGTCTTTAGCTACTATGACTCATGCTGGTCTTCAGCAACCCATGTTTGTCGTAAGAGGCGACTAACGGGATCGGGTGGTCAGGCTTACAGACCGCCGTCAAGGCCGTAGTTAACTTTTTTGACGGGGAGGGGGGCAAATATTTGTACAAGTATCACTTGTCCCCAACTTGTATTTTCATGATTCAAATAAAACTGTTTTCTATATAAAAAAAAAATCAAGGCTGGCTACGGCACTGGCCGTCATATAGCTGGAATATTGCTGAGTGCGGCGTTATACAACAAACAAACAATCAAAAACTTACGGGATCGGGTGGTCAGGCTCGCTGACCTGGCTGATGCATGTCATCGTATCCCAATTGTGTGGATCGACGCTCATGATGTCAATCACAGGATTGTCTGCTCCAGGCTCTATTATTTACAGATCACCGTCATACAGCTGGAATATTTCTGAGTGCGGCGTTAAACAAAGAAACAAACAAGAACGTCACTGGTGCATCGAACCCGGTCATCAGTGTGACGAACCTGAGCTGTAACCACTAGGCTACCCTAGCCCCGTTTACATTAGTATATTAGAGCGCTAACAGATTATTGGTAAATAGAAAATATCGACAACATAACAATACCATAACCTATCCTGTTTGTGGTGTTACAGTCTCCAACGACGGCCCTATCTTGTTCGACATAGCGTTGTTGAAACTGAAGCAGCCGGCAGTGTTGTCGGACTACGTCAACATGGTGTGTCTCGACAGGGTGGGGGATTTCCCCCCGGGGTCAAGGTGCATCGTCTCAGGGTGGGGACAAGACACCACAGGTGAGGAGGGGGTGTTGCTTACCTGAGGCACATCGCAGTGTAATGGTGTATACTGTGAGGATTTAAAGGGGGGTTGGCTCCCGCTTACGACAGTGCAAGCAAAGTTAAATTATCCATAATTGCAAAGACAATTTATGGTAGAATTTCGCCAAAAAAAGGAAACCGATCCAGAGTAAAACGGTGAACCAGTGTGAAAAATATTTTACGATATTTAGGGGATGTTTTCGCATCATCTATACAGCAGAATCTCTAATAAAATGCTTACTGTATTTGAAATTTCAGACACGCCGGGAACAAAACTGCCATTCATGACCTTCCTGCCGATCATGGAGGCTGATGCATGCCGGGACAAGTATAACGCACTTCCGGAGGATCACATGGCGCGGACGATGGTGAGAGTGGACGACTCCGTGTTTTGTGCGGCAACCGAGACAGGAGGACAAGATGCTTGCTATGTGAGTGGATGCTCCTGAAAGTATTTCACTAAACATTAGGCGCACACACACATATAACGTTTATATTCAGACAATGGTATAGTGGGGGCGGTCGGATAGTCTAATTGTTAAAGCGTTCGCTCGTCACGCCGAAGACCCCTGTACGATTCCCCACATGGGTGCAATGTGTGAAGCCGATTGCTGGTGTCTCCCGCATGATATAGTATTGCTGGAATATTGCTAAAAGCGGCGTATGACAATACTCACTCACTCAATGATGATATAGCTAAATGGATATGTAATATCTGTCACATATATGTCACAGGTTTTCGATCAACATCTAACACCACCTCTTCAAAATTGTTTTTTGTTTTTTGTTAAACGCTGCGCTGAGCAATATTCCAGCTATATGACAGTGGTCTGTAAATAATCGAGTCTGGACCAGACAATCCAGTGATTGATATCATGAGCATTGATCTACGCAATTGGGATACGATGACATGCATCAACAATGTCAGCGAGCCAGACCACCCGATCTCGTTTGTCGCCTCTTATGACAAGCGTGGGTTGTTGAAGACCATTTCTAACCCAGAATTTCACGGGCCCCCTCTTAAAAAAAACACATAATTAAGCCCTCTCAAGGGGCTCTGGATAAGATGCACAGTATAAGTTGTGTTGTCCCCGGGAATTTGTCACTAGCCAATGTTGAATGAGGTGACCTCATGGAACGCGTGGCCAGGATCGATTTCTCACAATATCAATAACTGATATCAAGACTCGATTATTTACAGGTTGCCATCATAAAGCTGGATTTTTTTACAACAAAAACAAACAAACAGTATTGCTACAAAATGACCTTGGTAGATAAACTGGGGAACAAATGTTATTCTGTTCGAAATTGGGAATTTTTGTAAGTTCTCATTTCCTTAAATTCATAAATTTTGACATAGAGTTAATATCGTATAAAAATTATAACACTGAAGCCTCTTCATCTTAAATGGTACTGTTATCAGAGAAATATATATAGCCTATTTAAAGCCATAACAATGACATAATATATCTATATTAAGGTGAATGGGGAAATTGCTGAATGGGTTCGGGCCGAGTATCAGCGTTTGGGAAGGTTTAAGTAAATCCCAGTTATAGCACCTGTGCTGACGTGTTATGTTCTTCGTTTAGGGAGATTCGGGGGGACCTTTCATATGCGAAAAAGATGACCAGTGGTACCAGGTGGGGATAGTGTCCCTCGGCTACATCTGCGGTGACCTTCAGTACCCCGGCGTCTACACCAAGGTGGCCCACTACAGAGACTGGATCGATGACATCATCTCCAACTACAACTACACCAACAACTGAGGACGACGTCATCACTCAGCAGGGACCTCGTGAACGCTATAGCCATATCTCAAAAGATGCTACCACTACAGAATGGTAGACCAACGACCTCGGTTGAGACGCTGGATGAAAGGAATTACCTCATAAACTCCGATGATCTGAAGTTGAATCATGAACTCATCTTGAATCATGTCCTGGACTATATCGCAGCAACTGTAGATATATATACTATATACATGACGCGTGGGCTGACCTTGGTAAAACATCAGTAATTCGTAGCCTGGCGTTCAGCCCACCGATGCCCATTGGAATTTTCATCATCATACTTGTCACATTATGCTTTAAGTACAAGCAGCTCGCCACGGCCGCGCATTATTGCCGTTGTAGTCGTTACTCTAATGAAGAGCGGGGAGGGACTTAACGTTCCCGGACAACGCGCCATACCAGAAAGAAGCCCTGTTGGGATGGGGAGGCTGGCGTGGGGAAGGGGGAGGGGTCATGGGTGTGATGTGAGAACGGTGTGTTCAGATATATTTCAAATCTACCCTTGGCGTAGCTGGTAGATTGAGTCAAAGAAAACTGGTATTATCAAGTTATGTTTGATAATTACTTCATCCCCGTTGTGTCGAGGTATCTGACTGCCCAGTCTTAACGTAACCAAGAATATAAACTAAAGGCAACGTACATTTCTGTCCTGAGGGATGTTCAAGTGTAGGAACAGATTCAGTAGCGCTTGAAGAAAGTTGTGAGCGGTTATACTTTTTGCAGTCATTTTTCACGTATTGCTGAAGCTTTCCTTAAGTTATACTGAAGGGTGTAAGGCGCCGCAAATTGTGCACCAGAGTTATGTCCCTTAGGTGCGCCATGATCCGCTAATCGTGGGATCGAATCCTAGATTCGACCTGATGTGGTCTTGGTTTGTCAGCTTCATATAAAACAATAAACGACAGAGACCTGCATCAATTGAAGTACTGTTCACGGCGGTGTTATAACAAACTTACTTAATTATATAGCCCGATTAAGTAGGCTGACGCTATTCTATAATCCGCGACTTGCGATAAAAGTACAAATGAGGTTAGCAATTGGTGTATGGGTATTGTCGGTTGAGGGTATAGGATTAGCAGGTATTATGTACATTACATGTGTTAAAATTGTTTAAGCATGCCAGATATACTTCTCAAAAGAAGTTAAAAGAAAACCCAATGTTTTCGTATGACTATATTTAATCTGTCATGTCAGACAGAATAACTATAGTCATATGAACAATCGGGTGTTCTTCATCTTCCCGAGGCAAGAGCGTTAACTGACTATAAAAGTCCAGTTTCAACGAATAGAGATGAACGATGCTGAAAATTGGTTTCGACAATTGAGACATCCTGTTGGCAGTTTTATTCTTTTGCGGTCCATGTACAGACGGGATGGGTAATTGCTTGTACGTGTGAGAGATGCCTTTCAATTATGACGTCAATGATGACGGAACGAGTAGACACAACACAATCAAGAATGTCGGTCGTGCATAGCGTCAGTATCATATACCTTGCCAAATCCATTAGGAACACGCCCTAGTAGGCCGCCAGTATATAACTGGTTTGTTTATTTGAAAACGCAAACGCTTGAGAGTATCATTTCCCAAGGTGCTGTAGACAGAACCCAGTTTGTGCATTTGCGTAGTCAGAAGCTCGGTTGTGGAGCTTGACAAGTGAAGCTGGATATTAGTTGAATTTGCATTACGAACAAAGCTCGAATATAATTAAAACAATTTTGTTATCTAGGTTAAATTTTGTTTTGAATTTTAGGAAATGACTTGTTTGTTTTTGTCCTGTTCAATATGAATTGATATGTATACAGGAGGGAGAAAATGCACAAATCATCTTTATGTAACATTTGTTTTATGTAATATTTGTTTTATACTATTTTATATTGATGTTGAAATATATATTATACATATATGTACTTCTCTTTATGTTGTAAAAAGTTATCATTGGTGAATAAAATTGTTACATGATTTTCTAAAACAGTCGTGCTCTACAAGTGTTGTGGTATTGAAATACGTTGTATATATTCTTAAGGCGTTTCTAGTAATGGAGGAATGACCGGTGAAGGGGAGTTACAGAGGAGGAACCTGTGATGAAATGGTAGCGCACCTGAGCAAACTGGTGATATCGCACGGTAGTAACACCAGTGATTGATTGTTTGTTTGTTGTTTAACGCCACACTAAGCAATATTCCAGCTATATGACGGCGGTCTGTAAATAATCGAGTATGGACCAGACAATCCAGTTTGTTTGTTTGTTGTTTAACGCCGCGCTCAGCAATATACCAGCTATATGACGGCGGTCTGTAAATACTCGAATCTGGACCAGACAATCCAGTGATAGACATCATGAGCATCGATCCACGCAATTGAGATCGATGACATGCATCAGCCAAGTCAGCGAGCCTGACCACCCGATCCCGTTTGTCGCCTTTTACGGCAAGCATGGGTTCCTGAAGACCTATTCTACCCCGGATATTTACAGGTCATCAGTGATTGTATCAGTAGCGGTAGTAATAGTGAGTTAGTGAGTGAGTGAGAGGTAATATTTACCATTTGGGAGAAACCAACGATCACGGGTGTTGTGTGACCAAGGATCATAAGCAACGTGAACATGGGATTTGTAACCCACGTCGGCCCATCTAGGCACAGCTAAGGGAGGCAAAAACTCTCGAAAGGAATTGCTGCAAAACTAAGAATTTATATTTATTCACTCTACGTCACTAGGTGCATCGAGAACAACAATGCATGTAAATGATGTAAAATATGATAAAAAACAAAACAAATATTTAAGTAATACAAATACAAATTTGTAGGTATGCTAAAGGCCCCTTTGACCAACGGGATCTGCTTAATTTAAAAATCGAGCAAAATGTTTAGAACTTGTTATGAATTCAAAGTTGCCAGATACATTCATGTGAATGAGAGCTAAACCTTGCTCATTTCAAAAATGTAACAAATCTTACTCTTTCACTCATTTTAGCCATATGTGTGTTTATGACCTTGTTGCCATAGGTTACAACCTCAGTTTCAGGTATATAAATTGATGACTTCATTTCTTGCAACAATGACAAGATAAATTAGTATGTTCACCTCACCTAGCCACCAGGGTTGGAAATTAAAGAAACAGCTGGGAAACCACATTCAGCGTCCTATCTGGATCTCTGCACAGAATGTCACAATGATGGCACCCTCTGTACCAAGTATTACAAATGAGATTTTTTCGATTTTCCAATCGTGAATTTCCCGTTCATGTCGAGCAATCAACTCCAGCTCAGAGCGTACACACGTCTTTATTCCTCGAGTATACTTTAGTGAGTGAGTGAGTGAGTATGGTTTTACGCCGCTTTTAGCAATATTCCAGCAATATCACGGCGGGGGACACCATAAATGGGCTTCACACATTGTACCCATGTCGGGAATCGAACCCGGGTCTTCGGCGTGACGAGCGAACGCTTTAACCACTAGGCTACCCGACCGCCCCTAGGTATACTTTAGAGCCTGCGTACATTTTGTTCAGATTTCAGGGAAAAAAACACTTTACTTATAACTATAAGCTATTCAATCAAGGTTTCACCATCAAAGGCCCGTTAAAGCCTTTCCAGAAATGTTATATGGTAGACAGTCAGAGCAATTTACAAATTTGACACGTCGTTTGTCACATGATGCGCAGTGCAATCTCATACTATGACCTTTATTTGGACCTTTCACACCTCCTTACTGCCACGCGTTTCCATGACAATTATGTGAAGGGCTGGTGTCACCCGTAGGGCAGGACATGCGCACCCATTTACTCGAACACCTGGTGTCATCACTGACTTACGGTGACCCCTTCGTGTCATTTTCATCACTATTTTGCCTTTTACGCCGTTTGGAATTTGGTTCGGCAGACAATCGGGATTGATGATCGGCATTGGCGTTTTCATGTACGTTCTTATCCAATATCCCGACAGTCAGTATGATAGCGATAGCTTTAAAGTAATTGATTCATTGTACATGAAACCGCCTCCGTGGTCTAGTGGTAGAGCGTCCGCCCGGAGAGCGGAAGGTCCGGAGTTCGAACCCCGACCGCGTCATACCAAAAGACGTCAAAAGATGTTACTTGTTACCATGACTGTCGCTCGGCATTAAGGGCCCAAAACAAGGACTGGTCGGCTCGGAGTCAGTATACTGTGTCTGAGTGGGGTATCCATGTTAAATTCTCAGTGAGCTAGCACTATAATCCGGCATCAGTCCGGACTAGTACACGCAGCCACACAAACACACACACTATATAAGTGCAATAATCTTGGACGCGACGTTACACCCCATTTCACCTCACCTCATTGTACATGAAATCAGTAGGTTGTAACTAGAAACGTATGTAGACTGTGTTGAAAGTTCACGCGTCAGAGCAACAGTGCCCTTTACGCCCTTGAACCAATACGTCAACATTCATAACCTTCAGAGTCTTAGGAACCGACCATTTAATATTATGGGGTGGGCAGGAACTTTTTAAAATGTTTTTAACTTTTTTTAATCCAGTCTGGACGAGACAATCTAATGATTGACATCATGAGCATCGATCCACGCAATTGGGATACGATGACATGCAACAATAAGAGGCGACTTTCGGGATTGGCAGAGGCTCGCTTACTTGGTTGATGCATGTCAACGTATCCCAACTGCGTAGATCGATGCTCATGATGTCAATCATTAGATTGTCTGGTTCAGACTGGATAATTTACAGACCGTCGTCATATAGCTGGAATATTGCTTACCACAGCGTTAAAAAACAAACACACGCTAAACACACGCTAAACACACGGCCGACATTCGAAATATATGTTACGTCAATCCACCTAAGAAATGGCCTGTCTACATCAGATAGGTTAACCGAACCTCCGCATCAGTTTATGCATTTCACGCCTCAAGCTTCTAATGTTTATACAAAATTTAACTTCTTGCTCTTTGACCTACATCCGTGAGGGCTGACATGCGTAACTGCATCTGAGAACGGCAGTCCTTGTGTTAAGGTTTTGACGTCAGATAAGGGCCATACCATTCGATGGGGGTGCATGGTGGGAGTGTGGGTGTTCTACACGGAGTGGTGTCTGGGATTTTTGGAAATACATAAATTGCTCAAGCAAACAAACCTGTGAAAAACATATTTTTGCCTCATGTTTAACTAAATGATAATAATAATATTTTTTGCCTGTATATGCGGAATTTCCTGAAAATATGTGTTGTGAAACAAAATATTGTCTGACTCCTCTTGCGTGTCCGGGAAATACTCTTTTCTTAAAGCGGAGAATTGTGTTCACGCTGTGATTAAATATGCGGATATATATAAAGCTGACGGTAAGGAATTTTGTGAATTAATGCACGATTCAGTTATTGGTGTTTGTTTTGTTTGTTTGTTGTTTAACGCCGCAATCATCAATATTCCAGCTAAATGACGGCGGTCTGTAAATAATCGAGTCTGAACCAGAAATCCAGTGATCATTATGAGCATCGATCCACGCAATTGGGATGCGATGACATGCATCAACCAAGTCAGCGAGTCTGACCACCCGATCCCGTTAGTCGCATCTTACGACAAGCAGAGTCGCCTTTTACGGCAAGCATGGGTTGCTGAAGATCTATTCTACCCCCGATCTTATTAGTGAGTGGGTGAGATGGGTTTAACGTCACTTTTAACATCGTTTCAGTTACATCACGGCGTGTACATGTCAGCTTAATGTAGGATGTATGCCCAGAGTGTCGCAGGTTGGAGATGTTTACCCGAGGAGTGGAATACTAAGGAACCAAGATTTAGCTTCAGTAATGGATTTGAACCATTGATCGGCGGTTAATGGCACCATCCAGGAAAACAACGCCGGCGCCTCAGTCTACTGGGCCAACGTTGATCACTTTTACAAATATGATTATTTATATTGATCTTTTTTGTCTGACAATAACATTTGGTGGAATAGTGAAGTAGGTGTTGTCTGTGTGTATTTTCAGTTTTGACAAACCATTGATCATAATCAGGGAGAATCAAGTGTTCAAACTAACGATCTTCTGTTCCAGGTGTGCCAAAGGGGCACAACTCTGCACTGCGAATTGTGGCGCTTTAGATCACGGGGTCATCCGTGGCCTTTGTAGATTGAGTTGTTGTTATTATTGTTGTTGTTGTTGTTTTGTTGTTATTGTTATTACGTAAGTGGTTATGTTCTTATGTATCATTTACTGCCATGGACGTCTAATGTGTATATATTGTTCTTTCAATGTTTGCACCTATTCAACCGCATCGGTTTTGAATATTTGATTGGGGAGATTTCGTTGCGTTGCGTTGCGTTGCAACTAACTGGCATCAGGGACAAAGACATGTGTTTATACTGAATCACGGTGCATTTGCAGAATGTGAAATATAACACACCCTTGACCAAGAAACATTTAGCGCCGGTTGGTCTAAAACATGCGCTCCACATACTCCAGAAGCATTCTCTGGTTCCCGGTACAGGGTAAACACACACGCCTTTAGTGCGGGTCTGCTACTGACCATACTCCCATTGGACATGCATAGCGCACTGCATGAAACAGATCTACGCCACGGCCTCAGGGGCTCTTAGACCCTCATGCTCTTCAGGAGACACGGAATCGTTCGCAGCCGACCTTTTCATCTTCAGGTTTGGGCCTCACACAATGGAGTAAAAGCATTCTATAAATGAATGTTTTAATGCACAAACTATTATTTATCTTAGTTCCTATATACATCATTATTATTTGTTTTGTGTTTTTAAACATATCTATTTACTTTATTTATTATGAATTTGCATGTATTTTTGTTACTTTATTATCTGAGATTATTAAATTATTTTATTACCTACTCTGTGCTCACTTCTCTTCTTCTTTTTCTATTTTAAGGTGTGTGTGAGTGTTCAGAACCTGAATGCTGTGTGTGTGTGTGTGTGTGTGTGTGTGTGTGTGTGTGTGAGTGTTCAGAACCTGAATGCTGTGTGTGTGTGTGT